TGGCATTTTTATCCTTCCAAATAATAAATATGCCATACTCTCTATCATAATATGCCCTTGACTTTATCGGCAACAAATCTTCCGTAGCTTTTGCAGAGTCTTTTATAATATTTTCTGGATTTCTTCCATTTTATGCAATAAATTACTGCTCATTGACAGGAGTCAAAGTCACGTCAGATTAAAATCAGAAATTAACAAATTACGTCAAACCGGTACAAATATACTTTTTTTTAAATGGTAAGGCTATTAGGTGAAACATAAAGCATTGTATGCACCACAGGCGTTACGAAGATAATAATGCCCATCAGGCCGAAACCTATCCCTCGGACCAAAGGCCCTCGGGCTAATTCGGCCCTCAGGGCATTATAAGGTCCGTAACGCCCTTGGTACATAAATAGCTATTAACTACCTTTTGATTATGGTTTTTAATCAAACCATAATCAAAAACGCAATATTTTATTAAAAGACAGTTAGTTATTTTTTCGAGGTCCAAAATTAATTAAAAAATGCCTTGTTTGCGAGGAATACAAATAATAAATATGAAACGGATGAGTTTTCGGGGTTCGACGTGGAGTGCCAAATATCAACAAAATTCAAAAAATCAACGAGTCAAAATCGAAACGTCTTCTTCCTATATCTTATTCCTACAACACCGCGCGCTACGAAAGTTGCACAAAGCTGACTCTCCAACTTTTTTAGATATTCACGAAATAAATGCCGAACTCAGGCCTGCAGAAGCAAAACTTCAAAAATATAAAGCACCTTCAAACAATTCTCGATGATCGTCAAATTGCTTGACGATGACTCAAAATCAAAACTTTTCCCATGCATAGAACGTACTTTGCCCTACGAAACTGCACACAAGAGTAAATCTCCAACTCCACTGGTTTTTGGAGGAAATAAATGCCAAACTTAGCCTTACAGATATGATCACAAAATGTCCACAAATTTAAAAAATCTTGAAAATAACCTGAACATCAATTCAAATCACAATTTTTGCCACACATAAACAGACCGTGCCCAACAAAATCCATCCAAATATCGCTCCAAAAATCGAAACGTTTTCAACCTATAGAGAAGATGTTGCCCTATAAATGCGAGTCAAAAATGACTTTCTAACTTTGCAAGTTCCTGAGCGAAATAATTTCAAACTATAAAGGTATTAGTTTAAAATTTTTTGAAAAAAAAAAAACATTTGCAACTTGCCGGATTATGAATAAAAATCGAAACTTTTGATTCTTGTAGAACTGATGTTTATCAACAAAATACCTACTCAAATTTCTCACTTTTATAGTCACTGAATAAATAAATTGCCAAACTCCGGCCTACAAAAAAAAAACTTCAAAACTCCTAGAAAATTTCCTAAATATGATTTAAGATCGAAACTATTCTGCCTTACTGAACAGACTTTGCGCTACAAAAGTGACTTTCTAACTACACAAGCTCCTGAGCAAATCAGTGTCAAACTAAGACCTCCCTAAATATTCGCGAAAAAACATGCAATTTTGAAAAATGATTGAAATTTGTCTGAATATGAAGAGAAACTTTTGACTATTGTAGAACTGACTTCCTTCCACAAAATATATACAAAAGCGACTCTCTTTCTTTGCTAGTTTCGCAACCAGCGCTTGAAACTAGTGGGTTTTAAAGCTTATGGAGCTGTTCCACACGTGGCTCTAACACAAATAAATGCTGTTGAATGGCGGCCTAAAAGCCCGGAAAAACTCACCAGTTTCAAGCAATACATTTGAGATAAATTATGTTTAAAAGTCATAAGTTTTAAGCAAGGCCTGCTAAAATTCAACTGTTTTCATAATAATACATTTTATCATTTCTTTTCCCAACATGAAAACATTACAAAATGTTTGCAAATATTCTCTAGTATCGAGAATTCTGAATAGGCAGATACGATGGTTTGTTAATAAAATTCAATTTATTTTTGGCCCTATTAAATCGTTTTAGACCTCGCAAACGATGCATTTTTTGATACATTTTAAAAGTCGACTAATCAGTGATTTAAGCAACTAAAATAGGTATAAAGTTTAATTCGCGCCCGCATTTTTGTGTCTCTTTAATCGTGGCCATTGACCGACTGTAGGAACGCCACTTTCCAATATATGTTTTCCCTTTATC